CCCAGGACCCCAGCCTGGTGAAAGTGAGTAAGGATGAGGGAGGAAGGGGGATAAAGTGAGCAGGGTGAGGCCTTGGAGAAGGGGTGGAACAGGGGCAGGGCCTTAAAGGGGCAGGAAGGAAGTGAGAGAAGGTTATTAGGATTTTAAGTAGGTCTTACATTGCACTTAAATTGAAAAAGTGGCCTTGTGGTTAAAAAGGTTGGAGACCACTGAATTAGACCCTGAGCAAGACCCATCAGCCAGACACCTGGGAAAGAAGTGTCTACAGCAGGGGTTAGCAACCTGTGCGTCGTGAGCCAAATATGCCCACACCCCGTCACTCACTCTCCTCTCCCCCCGCCCCCGACTCTCCCAGGCCAGGCAGCTTGTCCCCAGCCCTCTGGCCAAAATCCTCCCATCCCCCTGGCCAGATCTCTCTCTCCCCCCCCACCACACACACATCCTCTACCCAGACACCCACCCCTGCCCTCTGGCCAGACAAACATCCCTCACCCCACCCTTGGCCAGATTCCCCTCTGCCCCCCAGACGGACAGCCTGCCCTCTGGCCAGACAAACATCCCTCACCCCACCCTTGGCCAGATTCCCCTCTGCCCCCCAGACGGACAGCCTGCCCTCTGGCCAGACCTTGCACCACACCACCTCCTGCCCAGACCTTGCACTCCTGGACCCCAGCTGGAGCTAGATCTGGAGCCCATGGTCATGTTGCCAGCACCATTGTCTCCGGTGAACCCTGCATAACAATCATGGAGCCAGGTAGGCCCCCAGGGAGGACCGCAAGCAGCCTAGGCATAGCCAACCTAGGGTCAGCTGAGATGGAGGTTAACTGGCAGTGTGTTGCAGTCAGGATCCCCACTGATCCACTGGGCATGTTGCAGCCAGGATCCCTGTTGACCCAGTGGCAGCCTGTGCTGCCCCTGTTATGGAGCCCAACTGCTAAACCTCTCTCCACCATCTCCTGGACAGTGGCCTTGGACACCAGGAAGAAAACCACCTTCCCAAACATCTTAGAGGCTGCCACCATGGCCACAGACCTCACCATGCTTGCCAGCACCTTCATGTAGGTCTCCACATAGGATGAGGCTGACAACAGGAAGCAATGGACCCCATGCCTCCTGGTCAGGGGCAGCCACTGAGGATGAAATTCCAAGAGGCAGCCTGAGTGGTGCAGGAGGTGGTGAGCGGGCAGGGAGGTCTACCTGGGCGTATGCCCGGAGGGCCAGGACACCGGCGCTCCTAGAGCTGGTGGAGGGGAAGCCGTGGCTGACACTGGGGCTGGGAGAGATGCTGCCATGGGAGGTTTTTGCCTTCTGGGCAGGCTCTTGCCCTTCTTAGTCCCCTGACCCTTCCTGCCTTTCAGGGGGGCCTTCTTAATGGTGGCAGTGATCCTGGAGTCCCCATCCATGCTCACCCCCACCATTGTATTGGTGGGCAACCTGGCAGCCTGAGAGGGGCTAGCATTTGCAGAGGTGAACATGAGGGCAGGAAAGTGGGCTTTCCACATAGGAGAAAGACTGGAATTTATTCTTCCCTTATATCATAAACTGACCAATGATTAAAAGAACTCGACAAATAGCAAACTAATGCTCTAGGTGTGGTGTCTAAAATTGACAGCTATTGTGAGCCTCTGAGGCAAGCAAATCTGCTTGAAAATGCAGGACCCACAGAGTTTAAGTAGGAGCTTTGTCATAATACATTTAAATAAATCTAAGTACTGAACATCAAATAGCAATTAGGACAATCAAAGAATCATTTGGGAAATCACTGAAAGATCTTTTGGTAAAGTCCTATGAGATAAAATATGAAGAACGGATTCTTTCTAAGTCCAATCTTTCTGAGCCCATTTGCATTAAAAGAATGAAAAAATATCCTTCAAGTCAAACAATAATCAAGCACGAAAATATAAAACACGGAGAGCTCAATGGATTTCCCAGTATAGAAAGGAGGCAAACAACCAATTTCAGTATACCAAAAAGCTGCAAAGATCTCAGTGCTTGACATTAGAGCAAATGGATTTCTGTGTACATAAAGTACAAACCAACAGATACATTGACTATATTTTGCATATGTGGACATTAGCAATGCAAGTTATGCCCTGTTCATTCATCAGTCTTAGCTGCCACCACTGCAAAGACATGAACAAAATCAGATGTGTCTCAACTTTTCTTCAATACTCCTGACCTTACTCAGCAATATTATGGGAAATATGTTTGTACTGTAGCAGCCTGCTATTTAATGTAGAAAACTAGTATGTGTGTTGTACTGTTTTTCTTACCCATAAAGTCACGTGGTCTTATTTACCATGACTTTACATAGACAGTACACACATTCTCCCTTGCCTGTTTTCTAATAGTATAATCAAAATATGTAATACAGTAGAATACTATAGTTGCCATAATTTACTGATAGTGCTGCCATTTATTAGGATGTTGCTGATTTACACTTGTGGCAACAAAGCTTGTATGGGAGCCCTGCATTAGCATAGTCTCTTGATACCAAACACTGCAGGTTGGCAAGGTATTGTGTGTGGTATGGGTGTCTGTAATTCCTTCCCCATCACTCTCTCATACTTGTGAAGGAAACAATGTATTGTAATTGTAATATTGTTATGTAGATTACTTGGGATCCTGCAGGAAAATCAAGACAATATGTAAATCCTTTCCTGCTAGAAATGCTACTTTCAATAGCCTTAACTATATTTACTTGAGCATTATCATAAAAAAGAGGTCCCTTTTGTCATCATGTTTAATTCAGATGTAAATAGCAACCTGTATATTCTCCACCACCTCACCCACTCTCTTTCAGGGCAGCTACAGCAGTAAAGAGAAGGAAAACTCTCTTTGGTCCCTGCACTTTTGCTCTCTAGCCTTGCCCCATATGACTTTATGAACTCTCATGGTTTCTTACTGCCCCTATACTGATAACTCTCACATCTACCTCTACACTTATATCCAAACCTTCATTTCTTCCTGTCTCATGGATAACGTGCTGCTTCCTTAGATATGACAAAAACTGAACTCCTAGCCTATGTCCCTAACTCTCTAGTCTTCTCTTTTTTCATTTATAGGGACCACTCTGTTTGTTTTGTAATCAGTCACTCACAGACTTGGTTAATCTTTCACTCTTCCCCCCCCACACACCTTTTTCTTGTCTGCTCATATACAGACTTTTGCCCAATCTTGTTGCTTCTGTCTTTAAAACATTCCTAAAATCTGCATATTTGTTTCTCTCCACTGCCAAAACTGGTTCAAGCCATAATTTTATTTTGCCTAGACTACTGTCAACAAATCCTTGACTGTTCCTTCACCACTATCTAACATTAAAACTTCTATTTAATGTTAGGCAGTGTAGTTTAAATTCTTCATCTTCACTATTAAGGCTCCTTACCACTAACTTCTCAGGTCTCTACTCCTCATTGCATGGCCTGCACTCTTCTTTTCTTGCTTTTAATTCTCTCCTTCTCTTGCCTTTTACATAGTATTTCCTAAATCTGAAACACTCTCTCAGTTCACCAACCATATTCAAACTGCACCCTCAAATCTCCCCTGATAATCCCTCCACTTTGCTTTATTATACAGTTGAATCCCTCATTTCTCCTTTCCTTATCTTCCTCTTAATATTCCTGTCTTGGATTTGTCTAGGCCTCAATCCTGCAAAGACATCCATGAGTGGGTCTCTGCAGCTGTACAGACCTCCTGGTGAGGCTCTTCAGAAATGTGAGAATCAAGAATAACTATTATATTGTACTTTAATTAAATGTATTTTGATTAGTCTACATATTAAAAGCCAAACATATGAACATCCTACTATAATAATGTGGAACAAAATAGGTTAAGATATTTGATTTTGTTTCAATGGCACCTTTGTTTCTCTGAATAGTTAACATCTATGCTGTTTATTGTTATGGGAGGGACTTTATTATTATTATTCCTTCAATATAAACTTCCAGATTACAGAACTGTCTGCAAGAGAACTGTTTTCAAACAGGGATAGCAGGGACTAAGACATTTCATAAAGCCCCAGTTAGACTGTAAATATATCAGCAAAACCCCCCAACAAACCTTTTCCTTACCAACTAGAGGAAACTTTGTACAACTGCCTTCAAACTAATCCCCAAGAGGTAATCTCTTTAGGGACTGCTGCGGTAGTGGTGATAGCTGGGAGTATGGGGGGAGGGGGAAGCACTGAAGTTCAGAAACTACCCGCACATCCTTGACGCTTGGCACCTGCTTTTGAATATAAAGCGTCGGAGTGGGACATGTACGGTAGGGCTGTAAGAAAATAAGATAGAAGTCACCATATTCCCCAGTAGGGAAAATTTGTCCAATGGGGGGGAGGGCGGTCCACCTATAATGCAAGGAAGGAGGTGGGGGAATCGTCCCTCCTGCTCCAGGGCAGCGATTGCTGCCCGTTTACGGCGGACGACGACAGCGGGGAAGGTGGCTGTAAACTGGCCAAGCAGCGCGCAAAGGACCCGCGGGGAGTGGACAAGGTGCGGGCGGCCGCTCTGGGGCCGGGGAAGGAGACGATGCCTTCTTGCGTGCGAGGCGCGCGGCCGGAGCAAGCTTACGGGAGTGCCCGGTGGGCGTGGCAAAGAGCGCGCACT